AGTGGCAGAGGAAAGAGGAGGACCAGTCTCCACAGTGCGTGTCATCTTATCCACTTGATTATTAAAGTCCTTCTCCTCAGAGGTAATCCTTTGGTGAGCGTTCACATGAGATGCAATTATCTTTACTTTCTATCTCAAATGTAGTCTACTTAACAGGGCACCCACAAACTGTTCCGCAAATTGACAGTAAGCCAAAGCACAAGGAAGGTATTTACAAGCCTTCCGTGGTATCAGACATCTCCCTCAAGTCACATGATACCAGGAGCAATACATACTATCACTATCAGACAAACCAGGTGGGAAGCTGACGGCAATCTCTATATTACGTATTCCTGTGGAATGGTTGCTCTTTACTGCTTTCTCATCCCAGTGAAGTGCTGACACATAGTGCCCCAGTGTAAAACAAGGCCTGTTCCTTCACCTTCCTCACAATTCTTGCTATGTTTGAATCCGTTGCTTTAGATAGCTATAATTATTTGTCTTAATATTTTCTTCCTACAGCCTAGTGAGTGGTCTTGTACCACAGAGAGTATATAATGACTAGTGTAGAAATCATATGTGCAAGCGATTAATGAGAATAAACTGCAGGAACGATGTGACGTGAAAGCTCAACTGAGAGCACATTTGAGTTCAGCCTTTCACCTGTGCGTGTGGCTGGACCAGAGGGGAAATGACTTTCTGAGAAGAAAGACCAGAATCTGCAAAGGAATGGAGAGGTGAAAACACAAGGCCCTTTAGGCAACAGTCAATGACCACAGGAGCCACTTCCCCACCTAGTTTCCAATCAGGAGCCTAGTGAGCCACCCACCTTCCTGCAGAGAGCCTGCAATGATGGAAAGGTACATTCCTGGGGAGACACCTTTGATGAGACCTTTTAGGCAGTAAATTCCGGGGGGGGGGGGGGACACACTTTTAAAAAAATCATTTTATTAGGGGCTCATACAACTCTTATCACAATCCATACACACATCAATTGTGTAAAGCGCATTTGTACATTCATTGCCCTCATCATTCTCAAAACATTTGGGGAGAAACGTTTAAGCTCTTTATCTGCACTGTCCAACATGACAGCCATGTGTGCTCTGAAGCACTTGCAATGTGGGCTCGGATGAAGTGCATTGTGTTGCATTTGTGTAATTCAAAGATTTGGCAAGAAGACTATTTTATTAATATTGATTACATATTGAAATGATAATAAAATCAAACCAAACACATTGTTATAGACTGGATCCCACCTCATGGCAACCTTTTAAGACAGAGTCGAACTTCCCCAGAAGGCCTCCAGGGCTTTCGATCGTGTTACCAGAGCAGACTGCCACAGGCTTCCCCATCTCCATCCCGCAGAGTGACGGCCAGGTTTGAGCTGCCAACCATTCTGTTGGTCATTGAGTGCCCCCAGAGTGATGATGATACTTTATATTAATTTCAAGACTCTTATATTCTATCTTTTAAAATAAAACTACAAGACTCTATTGGGCCACATTGCTCTCTACTATGCAAGTTCTTTACAGCGTTCTACAAGGTTGGAGGAGGCAGCAGAGGGAACATTAACGCTTATCGAGCTATCTTTCTGTTAATGTTATGTCTTGCACTTTTCTTAGAGCACATGCCTAAATCCACTTATGTTATTCAGCTAGGTATACAACCAGAGGAAGAAGCCCTAGTAGTGTAATGAACTATGAGCTGGGCTGTCAATCACAAGGTTATCAGTCAATCCTCAGCTTTGTTGTCTTATAAAGATATACAGCTGCAGAAACTCAGAGGGGGCAGCTCTACTCTGGGTCCGATAGGGTGGCTGTGCACCAGAATTGACTCAATGGTAGTGAGTGAATTTGAGAGAGGTATACACGAATTCTCACTATCAGATTACAAATTTGGGTCTAAGATTTTATTACAAATGTTGCACAAAATAAGAGCTCAATAAATATTTACTACCGTGAATTCATTCATGCTAAAGCTAGGTTTTAACCTAGTCACCTGCCTGATTATGTGTGTGCGTGTGTGTGTGTAATGATATTTTAGAAATAAAACAAAGAGCATTATGAAGTGTAGTGTTTATCTTGATATAGCTTGGACAAGACTGCCACCTCCTGGTAAAGTTCATGAATACTAGGGTCTGATAGGCAACCCAAGAAGCCCTAATGGGCCAGTGGCGGAGCCTTCCTCCCACTCGCCAAGGGTGGCTTGTAACTCCACCGGTTGTTCTCCAGGAAAAAGGGCAATATACTCTGTCCTATAGTGTGGCTATGAGTCAAAATCAGCAATGGGCTTTCCGAAGGCACACCCGCTTGGGAAATCGGTACTATGAAAATGTCTACCTCTAAGGGCCAAGTCCTTATCTTCCCATGAAGTTCAAGCAAAGAACAACTTCTCTGAGTAGGTTGTTGCATACAACTAAGGAACCTGGTAGCGGCGTGGCTGCCCGTTGGGCTCTTCACTAAGCACTTAAAAGCTGAGAAGCCACTAAGCGAGTCTTGGAGGCCCCGAGGCCGTTCTGCCCTGCCTCTGCCCGCGTGGGGTGGCCAGAGTCAGTACCGACTGGATGGCGGTGAGTGTGGGTTCTAGGAGACTTCAAAGAACGTGCCCCACAGTCCTTCAGAACTTAAAACGAATTTATAGTGGCATTTTAAATGACTGCTAGCCTAGGGAGAGCACCTGCCATGTGCCGCAAACTTGAGTTATCGATCCTCACCACAGCCTTTTAAGGTAAGAACTATTGTCAATAGGCTGAGGACATCCAGGGTTAAACAGAATTTGGGCTGGAACCACGCACTCATCGGATAGAAGTCTAGGGATGGGAAGCGCGCGGAGTGCGCGCATGCGCAGAAGCCACCGGGGGCGTGGCTTCCAAGGTCCCAGCATTCCAATCGCCGCCAGCAGGATGGCGGCGCCCGTCCTGAGGCGCTGTTCGCGGGGCCCGTGGTTCCGGACGCCAGGCTGGCTAGCAGCTTGGCCCTTCGGGCTGCGTAAGACGCACTCGGGAGCTCAGGGCTTGTTGGCGGCGCTGCAGGAACGGGGCCTGTTCAAGGAGTTCTTTCCGGAGAAGAGTACGGACGTGGAACTCCCAGAGCTTTTCGACCGCGGCACGGCGGGCCCCCAGACTGTCTACTGCGGCTTCGACCCCACGGCCGACTCGCTTCACGTGGGGCACCTGCTAGCGCTGCTGGGCCTCTTTCACTTCCAGCGAGCGGGGCACAATGTCATTGCCGTGGTCGGAGGTGCAACCGCGCGCCTGGGGGACCCGAGCGGCCGCACGAAGGAACGCGAGGCCCTGGCCGCCGAGCACGTGCGGGCCAACGCGCGCGCCCTCGGCCGGGGGCTGGAAGCGATGGCCGCGAATCACCAGCAGTTCTTCTCGGACAGGCGCCCTTGGGGCAGCTTCTCCGTCCTCGACAACTCGGCTTGGTACCACAAGCAGCCGCTGGTGGACTTCCTGGCGGCCCTGGGCGGCCACTTCCGTATGGGCACGCTGCTGAACCGCCTGAGCGTCCAGGCAAGGCTCAAGAGCCCCGAGGGCATGAGCTTGGCCGAATTCTTATACCAGGTGCTCCAGGCCTATGACTTTTACTATCTGTTTCAGCGTTATGGATGCAGGGTCCAGCTGGGAGGGTCTGATCAGCTGGGCAACATCGTGTCTGGATACGAGCTCATCCACAAGTAAGCACTTTTCGACTCTGGAGAAATCATGGGATCAAATAATGGGCGTTTGACCCGTTTATAATGCATTGTTGGGGCTGTTGCCTTGAGCAACCCAAACCAAACGCACTGCCCTGGAGTCGATTCTGGCCCATAAGGTTTCAGAGGCAAGGAGCCAAAAGCTTCATCTTTCTCCCCGAGATTTGAGCCTTGGTGCTAAGTGACACAGCACATAACCCACTGGGCTCCTAGTGAGGACTGTAGGACAGACTTAGTGATATGAAGAATAGGGGGTGCATTCTAAAGCGTTTTTAGGAAATAAACCACTTCTTAAGCATGAAGTGTAGTAAAGGTTGTGGGTTAGTGATCGGTTTTGTCCAAGTAGCACCTTCTGTGTTTTTTATTTGGAAAACTGGTTTATTTATCCCCGACGTAGAAGAGCCACCAGTTTGTTTCAAATTGAAAACAAAGAATTTTATTAGCGTGGACAAAAGTTTCACCAAATGGGCGATACAGCGATGGGAGAAATATAACAAAGTGCTCCAAAGAGGTTAAAATAAAGGCTAACAGAAGTTAATAAAGACAAGAACTGCAAATGGGTGGTGGGGGTGGGGGTGTGGAAGGACACAGCTGGAGTATTTTTGATTGGTTAACATGGACAAAATTGCAGGTGCCAAGATCTGGGTTGGCAACCTTACTTTGTAGGATGGCTCCAGGTACTGTAAGACATACGCAGTACGGGAGGTAATGGAAGTCAGAAAGACATTTTTTCTAAAGGAGACACGGGTATTTTGGAGCCTTGCAGCATAGTGGATTCTGCATTGAGCCGATAACCACAAAGTCACTGCTTTGAACCTGCCAGTCGCTTAATAGGAGACACATGAGACTGTCTGCTCCCATAATGAGTTAAAATCTCAGAAACAGCATTCCCACTGTGGCCTGTGATACACTGGAGTCCCAGGTGTGGGTCAGAATCAATTTGATTTCGAGGGGTATTTTTGACAACTGGCTGAGCCACTAATGGTACATATTTAGTGTTATGTTTGACATTTGCACAAATCACCATTTTGAACTGCAATCTCGAGTAGGGTGGGCAAGCACTAGTTTTCTGTAGAACTACTGTATATACTCGTGTAAGCCGAGTTTTTCAGCACATTTTTTATGCAGTTTTGTGGTAAAATTAGATGCCACGGCTGATACTTGGGACGGCTTATACTCAAGTATGTATGGTACTTGTATCTAAGTCAAAAGTAGAGTGGGAATTTATAGAAAAGGCAGATCTGCATAAGAGCTACTCAAACAGTGTGGTGGTTTGATTCACAATGTAAGTAAAGGCTTGACTACTGTCAGGTGGTATTAATTATCAGTATTCTACCACACCTGAACATGATTGAATCCCCTGGACTGAGCGGTCTCTGCCTTCTCTGTACCCTCCATGAAGCTAGATAAATCTTGAGTTGATGTCTCAAGAAAAAATGAAACATGGTGCCAAATTTTTGACAAGTAACGTAGTTTTTAATGATATTTTCTTAAGACAGGCCAAGTGCTGCACAATGCCTTTTTTTTGTCTGAAACATTTAAAATCTCTAACTCTCCCTTTGCCTAGTTTTCTCTCCTTCCCATGATGTTTATAAAAAAATTTAAAAAAATCTCTAGCCCCTGCTTCCCTAGATTGTCTAGAGCCATTTGTGCTGTTGCAGTTCAAAATGACCACTGCAGAATGTGGTCAGGACACTTCAGACAGCAAGTAATCCAAATTTCTTAGGGTAGGTGACCCATCTGAAATCTCCAGGGTGAGTAGCAGAGCCTACTAGTACTTGTGTTTGAAGAATATCATGAAATAACGACGTTTTTCTTATGCATAGGTTGACTGGAGAAGATGTATTTGGAATCACTGTCCCTCTCATTATAAGTACAACTGGAGCAAAGTTGGGAAAGTCAGCTGGCAATGCTGTTTGGCTCAACAGAGAGAAGACATCATCATTTGAATTGTATCAGTTCTTCGTTAGGCAGCAAGATGATTCTGTAGAAAGGTGAGTTCTTGAGGGCGGAAATCCTAAGTTTATGAATAATTTTAACCTATGGATCTCAATATAGCTTTTATAAATTTTTTTACTGGCATTACATGAAAGGCATATCTCACCGGAACACTATTAGAGTTCATTGTGTTGATTTTTTTTTTTTTTTAAGTTTCCCTTAAAAGTGATTTTGGTAAAGGTTTCAATTGAGGGGTAACAGAAAATACTATCTTATAAATGTTATGTAGTTAAAAGACGTGTAACATAAAACTTGACATTTGTTGATTCTTTGTGTCCATTTCATTGCCATCATTTACATACATAATGTGTTCTAGTTAACACCACTGGTTCCAAAACTTTTTAGCATCCAAAACAAAACCTTTGTATTCATGAAGCATTTAACTCCTCCATGGCCCTCTTCCCCCAGATCTTGGTCTGATCTATTTTGGGGTCTCTTGACTTTACCTAATGTAGGTATTTTATATAAGTGGAACCATATTTGTCTTTTTCTGTTTGGCTTATTTCATTTAACATAATGTTTTCCAAGATTCATCCATCCATCAAAAATTCACTTTTTTCCCACTGAATAATATTAAATTAAACATGTGTAACATATTTTGTACATGCATTCATCTATTAATGAACACCTTTGTGATTAATTCTGCAGTGAGGGTTTTTCCCTCTTTTTTTAGTTTCTGCTTTTAGTTCTTCTTTTTTTTTGCTTTTGTTCTTTGGGAAATATACCCAGGATTCGAATTTTTAGGCCAAGTGGTTATTCTGTGTTTAACTTTTTGAAGAACTGCCATTGTCCAGAGTGGCTGCATTGTATTACATTCCCACCAGCAGTGCGCAAAGGTTCCAGTTTCTTCACATAATGGCCAACGTTATTAATTTTCCTTTCTGTAGTACCATTCCTAGGGGATGGGAGCAGTATCTCATTGTATTTTTGGCTTTCATTTCCCCAGTGACTAAATCATGTTGAATATCATGTGTAATGTATAAATATAAATGTATTTTATGCACTTATTGGCCATTAGTATGCCATTGGATAAATGTCTGTGTAAAGTGCTTTGGCCATTTTTAATTGCTTTTTGTTGTTATTGACATATTTTTTATATATCTGATAGCAAACCTCTATCAAATATATGATTTGCAAGTAGTTTCTCCCACTCTGTAGATTATCTTCACTTATAATGTCCCATCGATGCTCAAAATTTTGATTTTAATGACTTTAATATCTAAGTTTTTAATTTTCTTGTTCGTGATTTTAGGGTCATGTCTACAAATCCATAACCAAACATAAGATCCCAAAGATTTAACAGCTTGTTTCATGCTAAGAATATTTTTTTAACCCCCTTCCCCATCAATTTATTATATTTCTCTATCACTTTTTGTCCCAATTCACATCAGGTTTCTCTTTTTTGTCCTTGACAGTAATTCATCTTAAATTATTTCATTTAAGTCATTCTCAATATTAAAGTAATTTTTGTATGTAGTGTGAGTTTCATGTGGCTATCCAGTTGTCCCCGTCTCTTGACAAGATTGTTTCCCTATTGAGTCGCCTTGGCACCTTTGTCAAAAATAATTGACCATAGATGACCATATGGGTTGTACACTGAACTGCAAACTCCAAAGCCAGCTTTTCAAACCGGTTAGCTACTAGGAGGGGAATGGTTGAGGCTATCTGCTTCTGTAAAGCTTCGAGGAACAGCTCTATGATCTACAGCTCATTTGAGTTGGAATCATCTCAGTGGCAGTAGGGTAGGTAGGTGGTGTGATATAGTTTGATGTGGTGGTACAGTGGATTATGCTGTACCAAGGTCAGTGGTTCACAGCTAATTCTCATCAGGTCATCATCAAGAGTGGGAGGTTAGACAGGGTTATGTTATGTTAGACGGGGTTCTCTAGAGAAACAAAACCAGGACACTTAAATGATTTTACATATATTTATATAGGTAGATTTATACAACATAAGAATTAACAGCTAATTAGTCTGTAAAGCAATACAAATGGCTCAGTGCAGCTCACTTCAGTGAGATAGCTAATACACTGGCAGTCCTTCAAGTCTTGAGGGCCGCAGGGGGCAAATCAAGGAAGAAGATAGCTGAGTCCTCTGTAGAGCATTTCAGACAATCTGGCGACAGGCAGCAAACAGCAAGGCAGGTCACCAACAGTCAGCCAGATGACAGGGTCTGACAGTCCCCAGCTGACGTGATGTATATACTCCAGTAGCGTGGCAAAGCAGGTCTTGAAGGAACCTCAAATTACAGCGACACAGTCCACGGGTTGGGTGTCCCACAGCTTGCAAGTTGAGGCAGAGAATCAGCTAAGGCAGCCGCACACTGGTCCAGTCATCAAAGAGCAAGAGACCAGAAAGGTGAGGCTCACCAAGCCATTTATCTCTCTGCCCTTCCATTAATCCCACATGTGTTCATTGGCCAGGTTGGCACAATAAACATACCATATCACAATCCACCCTTTGCCAACTTGGCACCTGTACACAATTCTTTAGCCATATATAATTTCCAGACATTAATGAAATCACACTTATACTTAACATCAAACATCTGTCATATAAATGAAAACACACTGAGTCCAGTTGTATCTGATAAGATACATCATACATGAAAGGAAATATATTCAGTAAGCACATATAAAGAAAATACACTGACAGTCATAAACCTCGCTTTGCACGTAGTAATAACTGATAGGTAGAACTATCTTCTACCCATTCTGTATTACCTTTGCCCTCGGCAAGGACCTCAGCTGGCTGTGGTTTTTTGTCTGGTGGGGTGACCCAGGCCTTCATTCCTGAGGCGTCTGGTTCATTACATGTCCTGCCAGGGTTAGGTTGCTATAACTTATACCATTTACTTTAATCACGGGGCTTGGTAGCACTAAGAGTCAGCCTATGGGATCTCCTGGATTCGACATATTCTTCTTTACCTCCATTATGTAGCACCAGTTCAATTTCTCTTTGGTAATCTGGATCAATCACACCAATCAGTACAGTGACACCCTTCCTGATCTGTTGATCCAAAGTCATGAGAAGCCCTAAGTGGCCAGGGGGCATTCTCAGCTGCCAGTTCAGTGGAATCTGCTGTGTTTCCCAGTGGGAGAGTTCCTTCCTTTGGGACCAGGACCTCCAGGCCTGATGCCCATAGGGTTTCTAGGACAGGAAGCAAAAATGCTGCGAGTGGCTCACTAGGAGTAATCGTGAGTGGTGCCACTCCAGCTTCTACCCCATGGTTCCTGGACCCATGAATTCTGGCCACTGGAGACACAGCACACAAGCTTTTGTGATCCAAGAATTATAAATGATAAAATCCAAATTTTGAGGAAGGAATGGTATCAGCTTCAGTTCTGATTGTATGATTTGCAGAAGGCTGTGGATGACAGGGAAAGCCCCAAATCCACTTGCAGGGTCCCTAAATGGATTAGGTATTTGGTGAATTCCCTCTGATCATAAAACAGGGATGTGCATAGCATTGGTGTCAGAGCATTGAAAGTTGATTATAGTAGATGTAGTTAGTTTAAAATGTACCACCTTATTTATCATTTGGGCCCCATATAAAGTTATTTCAGTTTTTAGTACTTTCTGCTTTCTTTTTGATTGAGGTTTTTCTGTTTTGTCATTGTTACTTTTGTTTCTTACTTGTATTTTTATGGTTTTCTGTATATGAAATCTAGGATGAGTAAATCTACAGGGATAGTGGCAAGATCAATTACTGAGGGGCATGGCAGAGGAAGTTGGGGGAAATGAGGAGCTAACAAGTACAAGAAGAAAATGTTATGAAATTGATTATGGTGATGATTTTAGAACTCAATATGATCGAACAATCGAATTATATGATGTATGAATTATATGCCGACAGAACTATTAAAACGCAAAAAATTAAGTGGTGACTGTTGCGGTGTTGTACGGTAAACATTGGACTCTGACTATGAGGGCAGCAGCTCAGCTCCATCAACTGCTCTGTGGGAGAAAGGATGGGGCTGTGTACTTCTGGAACATTTTACAGCCCGGAAACCCTAGGTAGGAGCTCTATGAGTTAGGAACCGACGCCACCAAGCGGTGGGCTTGGGCTTGGGAGGGTTCCAAGAGGGTGACATAAGAAGGAAAGTTTCCATCATTTGGAGGAGTGAAGAGTTGTTGTACATCTGAGTGTCTTGAGGGGCAGTGTTGTATTTCTTGACCAAGGTGACGATCCACTGATGTTTGCTTTATAATTTATTATGCTACTTACAGGCTTGTGGTCTCCTTTTCAAAGTGTTATATTTCATCTTTCAAAGAAAAGATTTTAAAAGAGGGTGCATATAAAATATGTATGTGAATTTTAAAATCATAATACTCCTTGTTTATGGTTGCATACATTTAAAACAAAGATATACAAGCGCGCCTGGGGAAAATGTTCACAAGTTGAGATTTGTAGCGATCACGTGGTGTGGAGAAGCATGATAGGTCTGGTGCCTTGGTATCATACTCTTTTATTTCCTTTAAAAAACAACACCAAACACTATCTATCTGCCCGGTGGGGTGATTGCTGTGGGACATGGAAGAGGCACCAGTGGCGTAAGTAGGACAGCTTCTCCATCTAGCTTAGGGCGAACGCTGCCACCTGGGAGCTCTTGTCAGAGCCAACAAAGTAACTCCACGCTCTCACTGATCAGAATGTATACACAAAGATGCCATTTGTGTCTACCACCACCCTGTCTCAAGTGGGGGAAGGTCTGAAACATATGACAAAATATTAACATCATCCGAGTTTGAATGGTGGTGCCTAGGTGTCTGTTTTATTATTTTCTCATCATTTCTGCATCTTATGTTTCATATTTTAACATTGTGAAAGTTAGCATCTTCTTTAAGATATACAAAGGTACCCCTCCACCACCCCCCAAAAACCAGAATCCCTTCACCCCCAAAGCTATGTATGTTTGTTTGTTTTTAATTATTTTTTATTTTTTTAATATTTTATTAGGGGCTCATACAACTGTTATCGCAATCCATACACACATCAATTGTGTAAAGCGCATTTGTACATCATT